GATGAAACATGCTCATACTTTCCTTTGGTCTAAAGAAACACGTCCTTGCTGACGAAGAAACACGTTTTAGTACTTTGCCGTGATTTTTTTACTTTAATTATGGATGTCTAGAACACCTTTTTATTATCCAATTTTTCTTTTATTTTCTTATTTTCTCTTTTTCTCTTGTTCTAGAATTGTGATAATTGTTCCGCATGAACGTTAATGAATTGAATGAATTCTTTTTTGTGAATTGTCTTATTATTTTAGTGTTTTCAATTCTTATCCTAGTTAATTAAAAATGCATGATCAAACTCTTTTAATTAATAAATTCTAAAGTAATTAAATTTTGAAAATTTGCATGATCAATCTAATTTTCTTAATTTTCAATTTAATTAATTTATTAATTCACTTATGCGTGTTTATACTTTATTTTACGAATAAACCTCTTATGATCACTTTGAGATTTTCCTATAATAAAGATAGTTGACTTCTTGGATGAAGGGTTGTTGACAATTTCTGAAGTAAATTAGCAACAATGTTTTATAATTCATGAAATTTATCTTGGGAGATTGGGGACAATATAAGCCACAACCCTATAAATTTTTTGAATTTCAATCCATCAATTTTATGCTTTAATTATTATTTTTTATCTTCTCTCAAATAAACTTTATATTCCTTCAAAGAGTAAACACCCAATTTGGTCTCTTAAAGATGGTAGAGGTGACCAATAAGTCCTGAAAGATTTTTTTTATTGCATTTGGGTCCCTAAATTTTAATTTCGTTATGCAAGTTAGTTATTATATTATATTTAACTATTAACTCCGTTAGTCTTATTACAAATCATTATTTAATTGTCACGTTGGCACGTTCTCTCTCCTAGTTGGCATACAACAGTTGTAAATTAAATAGATTTAAACACGTGACAAAATAAGATTTAATTTATAATTTATAATTTAAAAATAATTGAAATAACATTTGAATGACTTACTTTCTACTAATTTTCATTATCACTAAGCTCTTCTCCACTTCTACCAAAGGTGTTTTATGAATCATTAAACATAGTTGAAGCGTCCATGTTCAATTGCCTCATTCTTACTTGACATTTTTTAGAACAGCTACTCATTTTGTTAAATCTCAAATTCAATAATTTAGGGTTTAGAATCTTAATATTGTAGTTAGAACATATGAATAAATTAAGGATGATTGAGACAAGAAAAATCCAACTATAGGAAATCGTAGAAACTCAATAACAACCTTTCATTTTAATTAGAGCACTCATGACCAAAATATTTAAACATTAGAAGGTATCCATTATTGATTGGAAAGTACCAAATACATTATGGTCCATAGGTGGTTAGGATAGAGAGAGCAACCAACTAGGAGAGAAAATAGGTGTTAACTTACACTTATCTGCTGAATATTTAAGAAATTAACATAATTAATAATTAAGTATAACAAAATGACTAATTTATGTAATAGAGTTAAAATTTAAAGATCTAGATGTTACAAAAAAATTTTAAGGAACCTATCAATTATCTCAACCATCTTCCACGGACCAAATTAAGTGCTTCAAATTGTTAAAAATCAAAATTAATTTGATAATTGTTTGAATCTAATCCTTTAAGTTTAATATTTAAACTTTATTCATTAATTATTACCAATGTAGTAAGATATGTTTGTTTATAAAACATATTTTATATGCTCACAATACTATTATTTACTGACAACTAATTTTTATTAAAAAACTTGATTGATAAATTTTAATAAATCTCTATTTTCAATTATATTTTTTTCTTTCATAAAATTTAAATTCAAAATATTATTTAAGAAGAACAAACGCTCCATCAGAAACTTCCTACTGTTGCATGTTACGAGAATATATTGCCTATAAAATTTGTGCTAGCTAGTGACATAATGTCATATATATATTGATACAACCCAAAAAGTAAAGAAAAAAACATAACTAAAAACAAGATAGACGGAATCCACAACGTGCATTGCAGATTTTCTCATTTGTTTACAAACAAGTGGCATTTGTCTTTCTCAATCAATTGGCATTTGACATATATATATATTTTGTTTCCCGTACAAGCCCCTTAAATTGACCAAACTGAGACACATAGGCATATACTGGTTGAAGAAGAGAATGGAGAAATGGAATTTCGAAGGGAAGAAAGGGTTGAGTGGTTCAACCATCTCTGTGAGAGCCGTATATAACATGTTGATGGCCAGAACAAATAACAAGAAGCCTATGCTTCGTCTGTGTCGTGTAGATCCCACAGATAACCCATCGTTTCGGACTACCCATGAAGCTCCTCATGCTGTTGCAACTGCTGTTTGTTCCTATAACTTCAATTCATACGCTCCCACCGCTGGCTTACCTCAGGCAAGGAGGTTTGTTTACTCTCAACTCTCATCTACCCAAAATAGTCTACTCTACTTCACCATATAAACTAATCCAACTCACAAAGAGAATGAAATTATAATATAGAGTGGAGATGGGGTAGTAATAAATTCCTTTCTCCAATTATCATAGACTAGAAAAATGTTAGTAACATGTTGTTTTGAACATCATTTTTTTAATTGGTTGAATTAATTTATTAAAAATATAAAAGTTAATCTATCCCACAACATATTTAATGACTTTTTTCTTCTTCTTGATTTTATATTTTTTTAATAAATTTTAATCAATAAGAGATAATATATATTAAGAAGAGTGTATTTGAGGATGTATTACTAACATGTCTCCTTCATCTATTTTTTATTTTTTACTTGCATACTTGATTTTTCTTAATTATTTATCTCTTTAAACTATGTTTTTTTTATCATTGAATTAAATTTTAGTAATTTAAAAAAATTATCTATAATAAATAATAATTATATGCCACAATTTAAATTCATTATAAAAATTTAAAATATAATAATATGTTCAAAATTTTATTAATTTATTATAAATTTTAATTATATAAAAATGCATTTATCTTATGTAATACACAAAATAAACAACTAGTACTAAAACCGTAATTGGAGTGAAATAGGATTAAGAATTTTTTAAGATTTCAAATCTAATATTTATGAATGAAAAAATATAATTAAAAGAGAAAAAAGTATGGTAAAGATCATTGGTCAAATTTTTGGGTAGAGATTGATTATCCACAAAATTTCCTTCTATATAAGAGACATAAATAGTTTTTTTTTTCTTTCTATTTATAAGAAATAAATACTTACTTTAAAGTATATTAATTGCTAATTTCCTTTTATACTCTAATACAATTGATGCATTTATTGATTTTTTTAACCATACAAATTATATTTATTTGTGGAAAAAATTATCTCTTAAATTTTGTCGCCTCATTCAATGTAATTATTATTTAAATCAATCAATCAATTTAAAGATAGCTTTTAGAATAAATTTAATTTTATGTTATTATTAATAAAGATTAACTATTTAATTAGTTTTGGTAAATTAGTGTAATAACACTAATATATATATATAAGAAGAGAGTACGTACTAATAATATAGAAGGTTGTAATTTGTGTATTTTTAATGTGTGGCACTAGTCATAGAGTATGTGTGATATCTTTCTATCTCAAATAAATAAATAAATAAATAAATATAAATAATTTTAGAGATAAAATAAAATAATAATAAAAGTTTTCTTATCAATAATTAGTAAAAGGTTTGTCAAAATTTTATCTATCACTTTATTAAACAAAGGAAAACATAAAATATTATTTAAATCAAAATAAAACATAACATCATTAATAATATTCTGGCAATAAAACATAATTAAAGACAAATTCAACATTTTAACAACTATTAAAATTAAAAACTTTGTCATAATATTATACTATCAGAGCATAATATTTCTTTATATGTTTCTCCCTTATCAAACATATCGTTTTGTATCTGCTCTAATCTTATAAATAGAGTTCAGCCTAAACATAAACATACAAACATATAAACATAAGGAGTGAGAATACATCTCATTCATAAACAACATATACAAGACATAAGGGTAGATACACACACATTTATATATACTTCAATAACATCTTATATACTCATAAACATTCTCACTTATATATATCAATAATGACAATCAATATATCTCCACCCATCATCTTTATCATCGAGTCACACAATATAACACAATCATAATGTAAGACCTATATGATGCATGAACACAACGGGGAGATTGTTGTGTTCGAATGTTCGACACTTTTTTGGAGTGAACACGTCACGGACGCACCATAGACACAGTAGTGAACTATGGCTACACAAACTAGACACGTTCCTATCATGGATACTTACAAAATTGACATATCTTCATCTTGATGTATGTGGCCTAACTCTCGAATGAGTAGATTCAAAAAAAAATCTCAATAAAAATAGAAATAAGGAAAAGATTTTTTTAAAAAAGAAGAAAAAGAAGAAGAAATCTTGATAAAAACATAAACAAGAAAAAGAATAATTCTTATCTTTTCTTACTTAACCTTTAAGTAACAAAACCAGAATTGTAGAATTGAAACTAATTAAAAGATTTTTTTGTTGTGGATTGGTGGCTCTTAATAATTTGTTTTTGAGATTTAGTATGTTATTGTCATATCAATATATAATTTTTGTTGTCATGCTATTCATATTATATATTATATATGTTGTTTCTACATATCCTTTTTCTTTTGTCATATTCTTGTATTTGTATTATATTCTTATATGGTGTCTAAATTCGTGCTACATAGTGTAAGAATCGTGCAATGTATGCTCCTAATTCTATGTGTATGTGATGTCAACCTCCTTATCACCATTGAGAATACAAAATAGTTTAAGAGTAATGAAACATAATCATCCCATCGAATAGTATAAGGATCACACATCAATAATGATCCCCTAAACCACCTCAATTAGGTAGGATTTTAATTGTTAGAAATGCATGAGTAATATATTTCTCAAGCCAAAATCGATTTTAATATTTAAGTTGATTTGGTAATAATGCACATGCAATTCCCATAATCAGGGCTATTGCAAATTATCTCTCTTCTGATCTTCCATACCAGTTAACACCAGAGAATGTTTTTCTCACCGCTGGTGGCGCACAAGCTATAGATATAATCCTACCTGTCCTTGCATGTCCTGGTGCCAACATTCTCCTTCCAAGACCAGGGTATCCACAATATGATTCTCGCGCTACTTATTGTTTCCTTGAAGTTCGGTACTTTGATCTTTTGCCTCAAAGAGGTTGGGAGGTTGACCTTGATTCGATTGAAGCTCTAGCAGATGATAACACAGTGGCCATGGTCCTCATCAATCCTAGCAATCCATGTGGAAATGTGTTCACATATCAGCATTTGAAAAGGGTACATAATATAGTCAGTCATGTACAAGATTTTTAAGAGTTGGAATTGAAATGTGAACATTTTTCAGAATCCTTTTCTCGGTAGGTGTGGCGACAGAAAAAAAACACTGAAGTACAATAAAATATTTAAGTAAGCTTTTTTTTATTTTTATTTAAAATAAAACTTAATTGAGGTGATCTATCTTAAAATTGAACTATTTGTTTAAAGAGCAAAAATTAGAGGTATAAAAATGATTTGTCTTGATTGGTACCATGACCCAATAAGTTAGTGTATATTTGGATTAACGATAGATGGTTCCCAAATTCACATTCATTCAAAAGCTACAAACTTTTACTTCTTATTTTTGTGCTTTGAAAAGTGAGAATTCATCACGTTTACAGTGATACAAACATTTTCTCAAACATGCTATTAGACTTTGAAAAAATTGGTGTGAAAAAAATTGTGTTAATTTGATTGGACTTAGTGAGCCAATTGGATTAAGTTGGGTTATTAGTTTTTAGACTTTAGGCCTTCCAAGTCTACTTGGTGTGATTTTTTTTTATTTATAATTTTTCTTTGTAAAATTTAAATAAAAATAAATAAATAAAATAAAGTAGGTGAATTTGGTTTGTCTTAATGGACCAAAAGGTTAAAATAGTTTAATCAAAAGACTTCAAATTAAAAGTTATATTCAATTTTAGTTATAATTCAATTCAGTTCCAACTTAACTTTTAAAATGTAGTTGAATTTGGTGAAATAAAAATAGTTTAATTTAATTCGCCTAATCAATATCTAGTTCAATTAAGTTCACACAAACTTTTATTTAGTTTAGCTCGGACAAACTTTTATTTAGTTGAGTATAATTTTTAGAGTTTAGATAAATTCAGCTAATTTTACCCGTTCCTACTCGTAGGTTGCTAAGATTGCGAGAAAGCTTGGAATCCTGGTAATTTCTGATGAAGTTTATGCTCATGTAACTTTTGGAAGAAATCCATTTGTACCCATGGGGGTGTTTTCATCGATAGTGCCGGTTATTTCGATTGGATCTTTATCAAAAAGATGGTTTGTTCCTGGTTGGAGAATTGGTTGGATAGCCACTTGTGACCCTCGAGGAATTTTTCAGAAAACTGGGGTGAGTTTTCTCCTTTTCCATTTTGAAGATCATAGTAATGGAATAAGATTTTTTCTTAGCTTAGATAGATATATATATCCTATTTTTTGACTCACTACATTGTATGAATTATGCAATTGATTTTTTTCTTTATCAGGTAGTGACAAATATCATTAACTATTTGGAGAGCACATCTGATTCTCCAACTTTCATTCAGGTAACCAATCAAAACTAGCATAAGCAAACTACAAGAGCATCAGAAAATTAATTTTATAAAATTTCATCATATTGTTTTCTTCCGCTGAATATAGATTATTATATAATACACGCATTTAGAATTTTATGCATGTTCATACTTTCTATGCCCATCTTTTACTTTTTTATCCCTTGAAACAAAAATTATAGCTAGTTAGTTTGCAGGCAGCAATACCTGAAATCCTTGACAAAACAAAAGATGATTTCCTTTCAAAAAATATTAATATGCTGAGGGAGGCTGCAAACACATTCTATGATTTATGTAAGGAGATTCCTTGCTTAACATGCCCTCACAAACCAGAAGGAGCCATGGCTGTTATGGTACGTGGCTTTTAAGGTTAATTTTCATCATGTTATTACTTCAACACTAGATCATCTTTAGATAATCAATCAATTAATAGTAAATTGAATTAATGGAACAGGTGGAGATTAACTTTTCACAAATTAAGGATATTATTGATGATATGGATTTCTGTGCCAAGCTTGCTGAAGAAGAATCTGTCATTATTCTTCCTGGTAATAATTTTTTCTAGTCATCAAAATCTCATATTAATTAATTTTCTTGAATAAAATAAACTCATGGTGAGAGTTTCTCTTCATTGATCAAACAATGCTAGGTGTTACGGTTGGACTAAAGAATTGGCTTCGAATTAGTTTTGCTGTCAGCACTTCTGATCTTGTAGATGGCCTTAGCAGGATAAAAGCATTTTGCCTTCGATATGCAAAGATGCCATGAACTCGTGCATGTCATATGGTTGGGTGTGGAAGGTTTTGATTTCTTAGGCATGTAATATCTTATCAATTTGGATAAATATATGTATGAAGATATTTCTTCTTTTGACATGGTAGGGTGTAGGAGGTGTTGATTTAGGCATGTTATATCTTATTAAGACCATTTTTATTTGACAAAATGTATGTATGAAGATGATCACCTTCTTCTTTTTCTATTATCTCCTGTTCTATATAAAAAGTAAAGTATGATTATAATTTGAGTATATAGATGAAGATTTTTTGCATTTACATCTAACAATATATCATAATATATGACACAATTGTAAATTTGAATTATAATATAATTTATGCATTTAAAAAATTATATATATAAATGCAATTATTTATATCATACATTAAGTAGATTAAAAATACTTTTTTAGGTAAAAAAACAATAATTTTTAAAAATTATTATAAAAGTTAATGGTCTAATTATACAAAATATATATATATATAGTTAATAATTGTATATTCCAATCAAAATACCTTTATTTTATTCTAAAAAAACTTGCAGTCAAATTAAGTTATAAACTAATTAAATTAACGTAAAACAAATCCTAATCATTAATCAGTAATTAATTACCATTTACCACCAAGCAATACTAAAATTCAAAACTTTTTTCTCCAACGGCTATTTCCCAAATTGTCAGCATTCAAATTCAACAAGGCACTGCACTCTTCACTCCAACCTTGGCACCACAAAAATCTTCGATCTTCTTAATCCTTCAACTTCAACCTTCTTCATCACTCACATCACAAATCATGGATGATTCTTCTACAACACCGCTCTCTCACCAACAAGACCCTCTTCCCCTGCCCCCTTCGCCCCTCAAAAACTCCCTCGACGCGCCGCCGCTGCCGGAGCCCGCCGCCGTACGCCGCCGCTGCAAGACCAAAGCGCCTCAAACGGCGTCCCCGAGGAACGCCCGCAAATCGAGGCGGCGGTCGGAGCTCGAGATTCGAGAAGACAAAGATCCCGCCTTGCCCGAAGAGGTTGCGAAACCCAGAAAGAGAAGGCAAACGGGGAAAACTAAGAAGGAAAAACCTAACTCCGTTCCACCTTCAACCCCGTTAACAAGTATGCATTTTTTTGTTCTCTTATTTATCCTTATGGTTTTTCTATGTTTATCTTAATTTCTTGGAGATTTTATAGACTAATGGTACAAAAAAAATATATATTATACAAGTGAAAAATAATCTTAATCTTATAAATTGATTGTTTTGTTAGATTGTCAAATTCATATTTTAAGATAGTTTCAGAGTCTATTATAATGATTATTGATTCTTGTTATGTCTATGTAAATAAATCTGATTTATTGATTCTTGTAATGTCTATGTTAATAAACCTCACCTTACAAGTTGATTTAAGGTTGAATTAGTCTCGACTCAATTTTTAAAGAATTTTTTTTTGTGTGAATGATTTTGTGTTCAGAAAGTGAAGAAGGGAACGGTGGTGACCTAGACCGTGTTGGGCAGGTGGTGAGTGATTTGATCATGTGGAAGGATGTGTCAAAGTCAACCTTTTGGTTTGGGTTTGGCTCTCTCTTTCTTTTCTCTTCTTGCTTCACTCAAGGAATCAACTTTAGGTCAGTGATAATTTAGATTCAGCATTTTATATCTATTTTTTGCCCCACGTGGAGAAATGTCTGAGATGTTTTGTTTTTCAGCATTTTCTCGGCCTTGTCGCAATTGGGGATACTCTTCTTGGGTGTTTCGTTTTTCTCCAATTCAATTTGTCAAAGGTAAGATTTTTACTTCTCAACTGATAGGTGGTAGTGGTGTTAATGTTATCCTCTAAACTATTCCTTTTGAATGTGTTTTTTTTTTTTGTGACTTTGGTGTTTGTATTTCAGGAATAAGGTTGAAGAAAATAAGTGTGAAGTCAAGCTGAAAGAAGATGACATTTTGCGCCTTGCGAAATTAATTCTTCCTGCTTTAAATTTTGCTATTTCAAAGATGAGAGCTCTGTTCTCTGGAGAACCATCCATGACCCTCAAAGTAATAATAGTTTTGATACTATAATATTATAATATGAGTGTAAATTTTGTATACTTTCAATAACTAGTAAGATAACACCTTATATGAAGTTAATTATCATAAAAGTGGATCACATGGTTGACTTTTTCTAATGAAATTCTTACATGTGTCAGGTCAATGATTGCTTTATAATATTGCTTAAGTAATTGGTCTTTTGTGGTTGCAGGTTGTTCCTTTCCTTCTACTAGGAGCAGAATACGGCCACTTAATTACCATCTGGAGGCTGTGTGTCATTGGTGAGGACACCATGAAAAAATGAACTGCATTAGCTTTTCCACTTAAAGCTTTGTTCTTGTCATACATATCTTGCTGAATTGCTAAATGATAATATCTATATACACATATGGACAGGATTTTTTGTCAGCTTCAGTGTTCCAAAGCTTTATTCTAGCTACACTGTTCAGATAAATCAGAGAGCTGAGTGCTTGAAATTACGGTTGTTGGACACATGGAGTGCTTGCACTCACAAGAAGAAAGTCATAGCATCGGTTCTCATGGCCTTCTGGAATCTATCTTCAATAAAAACTCGAATCTTCACAAGTAAGTCCATAGTGAGAGAGTTAGCTCAATGCAGTTAGCATGAACTATAATTTACCATAGTTGCATTTGTTTAAGGGTGTGTCTGAATCAACATTCCATCACGTTGAACTCCAATCCAATGTGAAAAAAAAGTTAATCCAAATAAGCCCTATAAAACAAGTTTGTCTCAGGATATATTTTATGCTTCTCGTAGATACTTCCCTGTTGTTCAATGAACCTTAAGATATAAATCCTGTCTAGTTAAATTTGCATTTGGATCTGGCAACTTTGTGATGGCTGATTATTGTGAAATAATTTTTCCATGCAGCTTTTATATTGCTTGTACTATTCAGATATTTAAGGCAGCATATGGTGCTACAATTTGAAGATGGAGAAGCACAAGTAGGCGAGATGGAACAGCAACAAGCTTTGGTGGTGGCAGAACCAGAGGAAAAGGAATCACAACAAGCATTAGTGGTTAGGGAACAAGGGTGCCAAAACTAGCACCTTGGTTCATTCATCCTTCCATTTTGCACCTGTATAAAATGTGATGTTTTTTTTTTGTCCCTATTTGTTTAAACATAATCAAGAGTCACTGAAGTTAACTTCATCCATCTGACTTCCAATTTCATTTTGTATTGATTTTCAATATTCAATTTTGAGAAACTCATTGTTCCTGTGCAAGCACTGATTTTTTCAACGAACGCACACCAATTGGTGTTTATTAGTTCTCCATTATACAGATACAGCCTTTTGATGGGATACTTCAATAACAAATATAAGAAGAAAAAAACTAATTAAGAAAGGTTTTGTGACAACAACTAATTTAGTTAGTTGACATCATTTATTTTTACTAATCTCATTAAAAAAATAATTAATTTTTTAAAACTATCCTTTATTAAAATTTAATACAAATATTAAAAGGTATTGAAAATACAATCTTAATTAAATGAGAGGGATATTTTTTGAGATAATATCATTAAATTGACAAAATTAGTTAAGATTTTACTCCAACATGCTTGGATTTTTTCCCCTACTCTTGAATTGATATTTTTATTAATTGATTTTCTATTTTTTAGTGACTGTTATTTTCAAATTGAAATATTTGAGTTAAAAATATGACGAATTTTAAAAAAAGTTTATCCTTTATTCTTTTCTATTTTTTAAAACATGTCGACTTTCCTCACTTGTCTATGCCTCAACCCATCTCAAGATTATATTAAATGTTATATATGAAGTTTTTGTTTTAAATAATAATAATTCATTTATAATCTTTATATATGAGTTGTTATTTATCTAAAAGATAGTATTGAATATTATTTATATAAAAAAGAATCATAGTTTTAAAAATGACTAGTTCAAATCCATTTTCGACTATTGATTTTCCCTTAGTTTGTACAATTTTTTTTTATTTGATTTTACTAAATTAGTTAAACTATTTAGTTTTGTTTAATCTCATTTTTCCATCAATCAATAAAATATTATTCCAAGTATCAATAAATTTTTAAAGCATACTTAGATTCTTCTTTTTTATTATTTAAATATAATTTTTTATTATAAACACTTTCAATCCAATCAGTTGCTTATAAATATCCAATTTTTGAACTCCTAACTTCATAGCAAGTTTCAACTAGCTTATACTTAGTTTTATCAAACTTGTTCATTATTAAATAATTTAGTTTTATTATACTATATAATGTAAATAATAACTTATTGTTAGTTTCATGAGTAGTTTTCAAAAAAAAAGAAAATAGTCTTATTATCAAAAATTTCATGAGCGAAAGAATCTTTTCACAAGGATCACACATTATCAAGAATTAGGTAATGAATTTTAAAGTTTTATCTTTGTAGCATGTTTTATACCATTTTTGGAGAGTCTTTTTTGTAGATTGAAGGAAAAGCGCTTTCTTCCTCTTGATCACCAAACACCAAAAATTATAGTGCATCTAATCGATGCACACAAGCAACACAGGAGCGAAGTTTTGGTAGTAGTTACAAAGGTGAAGCAAATTATTATTGCACCAAATGTTTTTAAAATTGGATTGATCATCGAATTAGTCAAGACACTAGCTCAAGATTCAATAGTTTAACTTGATCGGTTCATCCAGTTTTTGACCAATTCTTTTACATATCAATTTTATGGTTTTTTCAAACTAGTAGACTGATCAGTTTCTAATTTGATCAATTGAATAAATCAATTTAGTCTGATTCAACACAGGTTGTACCAACATCATTCAATGCTTACCATCGTGACTCAACACCACTACTATCAATACTTACCAAACACTACCACTGCCACAACCCATCGTCATTCCATTCATATATTGTTATTGTTGTTTTCATTGTCGTCCCCACTACTATTACTATCACTTTTACCTCTATTGTTGTTATTATCATAATTCTTGTCATTATCATCCTTATTGAGATAATAGTAATTCATTATGATAATACTAAAAAGATATTGTAATAAGTTTAACATTATTTTGCTCGAGTTGTCTATTAATGTTCCTCAAACAAAGTACATAACAAAAAAAATTATCCAATAACTTAACATTTACTTTGTGTTATTCTTTGTCTTGTACCTTAATCTTTATCAAGCACACTCCTAGACTCCTTTATAAAGTGAGTGGTCCAACAAATTTTGTCAATAAAATGGTCTTTCAAATTGTTTGATATGTAACATAAAGAATATTTGATTATTTATAAATTAAATATATATTTTTAAAAATATACTTAACATACAAAGTTCTATAATAATAATGGACGCCTATCGGGAGTTTACCCTTTTTCAATGTTTTGTTTCTCTTTGTATGTTTTGACACCTTTTAAAAAATGGTGTCATCCAATGATAGAAAAGGTAATCACATGTAATCTCTCATATTCAATTAAGAAATTAATCTCTTTTACAAGTAATTATCAACCTAATAGACAAGTGTCATGAGCCATAATTCTATATGGATAGATGTTAAAAACACCTTTCGTGTTACTTATATAATTCATTCCACATAGTTGTATTTTTTTTCACAAAAATGTTATTTTTTTAAAAATTTGTTTCCAAAATTTATTTTGAACAAGTTTTGAAATGTATTTAAAACATTCTAAAAATGTTAAAATTTTAATGTTTTAAAATTGTGTGTATCAAAATACCATTTATTCTTTTTTCCAATATCGAGTCTACCCTTCACTCTTCAATTCAGTTGCCTTGCTAAGTCGAGAGAATGTACATCTAATGAGCATCAACCTATGATTATCAATTAGGTAATACATTGGTAATTTGCTCTGTATCATAATTAGACTTTAATCACTATAATTATCTTTATGTGAATGAAGAATTGCTTATAACGTTTAGTGTCGTAGGTGATCGATATTAAATAAATGTATCTGAAGGGACATTGAATCAAGCGTAATTGAATTTGCAAGAGTATGTCAATGCTTGAGGGTGCTAAACCCACATATGCTTTGGTGCTTAAAGGTGTCAAATGAGCACAACTAAACTTATAAGGATGTTTCGATGCTTGAAAGTGTCAAATGGACATACTTGGATTCACAAAGGTGCTTTGACATCTAAAAGTGTCAAATGGACATACTTGGACTATGAGTGTGCTTTGGTGCTTGAAGATGTTGAAATGAATGATCACCCTTAGAGTCATGAGGGTGCATCCACGTTTAAGGCTACCAAACGAGCATTATCGGTTTTTAGTAACCAAATGGTTATTGAATATTGAAAGATTTTTTAAACCAAAATAAATAAATAATTTTTTTTTAAAAAGAACGTACACTTACGCACAAATTGTGACGAAAAAAGTTATAATTTTTATATATATATAAATGTTCCCAATATTTCCATTAAAAACATAGACGAAATACGATTATTATGATTTCTATTTTCAATTTCTTGATTTTGTACAAATATAAAATGTAAAACGTGAAGTAAAAATGTCAAAAATAATGATAATTTAATTTTTTTATTGCAAATTTATTTAATTATTTTGTTAACAGGATAATAGGTGTATTATTTTTTTTATTATATCATAGATATATATAAGTTGACCTAATAAATTTTCTATAAGTCTAACTCAATTTTTTTTAAATAAATAAACTTTTTTTAAAAACATAAACCTAACCATTTTATTACATAAGTCACATGCTTCTATTTAAAGTCTAGTATATTTTTATTCATTAAATAAATATTTATAAAAATTATCTAAAAATTACATATTTTTATTATATTAATTTTTTTTTAATTTTGGAATGTTATTTTTATACCATATGAAAATAATTTTGTTGAAAATTTCTATACAAAATATCTCTAAAAAAACAATGTTCCTAAGAAATATTATTTTCATGTAGAAAACAAAATACATAACAAAGTAATATTTCTAATTATACCTTTTACAGAATATAAAAACTTTTCATGTAGTCAATACTCTTTTAACATAAATTAAAAAATGTTAAAAGTAATAACACACCTTCTAATATACACTTCTTAATATACTCTTTTTTATTAGTTATAATATATTACAAATCACAAAATTAAGAAAAAATTATTATAAAAATGCAAGACTCACCAATTTTATATTTTTAATAAATTTTAACCTATTAAAAAACTATCCCAAAGTATATTTCTAACAATTTTCCATTAACCGATTGAGATTTCCACAGATTATTATTTTACTTTCTAGTCGAAATCATAAGTACTTTTTGGGCCATTCACATGGGCCATAATAAACTCTTTATGCAAATGGAATCAAGCCCAGCACTTATTAAATCCCCAAATCCGAAATCAAAGGCACAGAGAACCTAGGGTTAGGGTTTAACTTAGAATATTGCATTGCGTGATCGAAATCTATTCGATTGATTCTCTCTCACGCGAAGCAGAAACCCGAGTTCAGAATCCATGGCGACAACGACGACAAAGAGGAAACCGGTGTTCGTGAAGGTCGATCAGCTAAAACCGGGCACCAACGGTCACACGCTGACGGTGAATGTCGTAAGTTCCAAGCCGGTGAAGACGGTGAGTAGCCGTGGCGGCCGAGCGACGGTGCTTGCGGCGCGCCCGTCGCGTATCGCGGAGTGCCTCGTTGGGGATGAAACGGGGACCATAATCTTCACTGCTCGCAACGAACAGGGTATGATGATGTTCATTTTGTGTTGTTTCTGTTAGTTACTTAACCTTTACATTGTTTTGGAGAAGGGTTTTTTTTTATATATTTTATTCATGTGGTTGAATTTAAATTTTTTGAATGCTATCTTGTAAATAAGAGTTTGGTTTTGTGTCTTTCAAATTTCAAACATTTGGAATGTGAAAATTAGGAACTTTAATTACGTTTTTCTCTATTTTATACTTGAGTAATCACGCCCTTGTTTAATTAAATGATAGCATCTTTATTTTGGGTGGAAAAAAAATTATATGACTGCAGTGACAGTGTAAGTTTTTTTTTTCTTCTTTTGATCAATGATGTTGGTGATAGGTCAATTTCAAACTAGTTGATTTTGTCTGGTTTGTGTCTAGAAGATTGAAACTTGGAAACCTGGTTCCCTTTCTCCATGTAGATTGAACAATTGAAGATATCAATGTTATTAGTAGTACATACATGATACATGTATTAGGTTAGGTCTAGGTTTTTAATTGCAGTCATGATTTTGTCGTATCTTGTCTTATCGCCTTTGTCGCCGGAAATTGTGGACTAATGTGGCCAAAGTTATGGTTGCATTGAAGTTGTGGATATCCTTAAAACGGGTCATGGAAGGTGTTTAAATACCTTGGACTAGGTTAATCTTTTTATTTTCTTTGCCCATGTTGGAAATCAGTTTGTGTCCTAACTAATGTTTTCCCAAGTTAGATGGATCTCTTGTGGTGTAAGCATTAGTTCCTCTGTAGAAACAATGTAATGTTTGGTGTGGTAGCAGTACTCATATTTTCTCTCCCAAGCTAGGGTTTGTTTGGTATACTTTTCTAATGTATTTCTAAGGGAAGAAAATAGAAAGGAAAATGAAATAAGCATCTCCATAAGCCAGTTTAGGCATAAGTTAATTTGTAGAAGCTTTCATATAATTTCTCCAGGATTTATTTCTAACTTGTCCACAAGCTAATTTTAGCTTATAGAGAAACATGTCATTTTTCTTTATTTTTTCTACTTTGAAGTATTTATGAAGTTTATCTAGACATATCCAAAAGTTTTTGATGTTAGCACATTTTGTGTTTGGTACATGCTATATGTTGTCACTCTTGCGTGTTTGTGAAGAGGATATCAGTTTGATTTGCTTGTGTTAATGTGGTGATTGATTAATTTACTTTTGTGCAGTGGACCTCATGAATGTTGGCGCAACTTTAATTCTGCGCAATGCAAAGATTGACATGTTCAAGGGATCTATGAGGCTAGCAGTTGATAGATGGGGGCGTATTGAGGTCGCAGAACCTGCAAATTTTGAAGTTAAAGAGGATAACAATCTTTCGTTAGTTGAATATGAATTAGTTAATGTTGTTGAAGAGTGATTTTAGTTTTTGAGAGTGAATCTTTTGGGGTTACCAGAGGTTTTAATTTTTATTTTGACCATTGAACATTTGACTGCGGTGCAGTCTTGTGGTACAGTCTTGCTTATTTAGTCTTGAGATTGCTGTGGTTAATGCAAGGAATTGAATTTCAGGTCACTTTTGAAATGTGACGATGCTTATGCTTAAGATACAAAAGTAAATATTGTTATATGGTTCCCCAATTTAATAATGTATCCAGTCCTTGAACAAATCATTTGGGTTTCTAATGGAAATGTATTTCTAAAACTTTAATTATAGCGCACGTTACTGTTCAACTAAACCCTTTGCTGATTCAAAAGCCGCATTATCTTTTGTATACAAGATGGGATTTCTGTTTACAGGGTTGTTTTGGAATTAAATCAATAAATTTAATGCTCATAACCGACCCTGCCAAATTAGAGGGAAATTGTTTTACTTTTACAGGAGAAAATAAGAAAATTGAAGTATTTTTTTATGGGCTATAATTAATTTATTAATTTATATAAAAGCTAATTATGCACAAGTTAATGCGAGAATTTTTATAAGCCCCAAAAAATAAGAGTTTACGAATATTGGAAATTTTCTACAAACTAATTTATGCCAAACTTTTTAATATTTTAAAAGTTTATCGGATAAAAAAATAGTGTTTCATTTATGAAAACTTTTTCAAATAGGCCAGTGTTACTCGACCTATTTTCCTGCCCGGAAATATTGTTGTCAAACTGGTTCTAATAAATAGGTGATCTGATGGTTTTAACTGTGAACTTGATACTGTGGATCATGGTTCAGCTTCAAAACTGAATTGGTTTGGTCTAACAATGACTTGAGCACTTGTCAATTATGGTTCACTTTCGAAACTGAATTTGTACAATGCTTTTTTACTTTTGAGAATCCGCACGAATCGGATTTTTTTAGGAATTTGTCAAAGGAGAATTGAATTTGGTCAGAGAAATGTGTAATTGGTAAACAAAGATTATTTATTATTATAGTTTAGTTTAAAAGCCGAACTTACAGGTAAACTATAAAATAAAATAAAATAAAAAGTCAAAATCCGGTAGAACTGGATGGTCCACTCAATTAAATTAACTTAACTTAAATTCGTAAAATCATGTAAAATATTTTGCTTCGTCATCTGGTTCAAAGACGCCATTCAAATGCAAGAATCTGTTAACTTAACATTAGATATTTCGTTGGTTTATTCTCCATCCAATTTTAAAATTGTAATAATGTCCTAGCTAACGTGTGACCTTCACAAAATTAACGGGGGTGATTCGGTAGATTTCGTACGCTATATTGAAACAAAATGTTAAATGGATACTGAGCGAATTTCAGTGTGGACACCATATAGGAAATTTAAGGAAAATATAATTCTTAAAGCCGAATTTGCTTTTGCGAGGTCACAAACCAAGTTATGCAAAACAAAATCAGTATTTCAAAAGAAGAGGAATGTGAGAGAGCCTACAGGTAAGTCTAAATATCCAGGGACAAATTCTATAAAGTGACTACAATAACAGTCCAACTTTGATACCCACAAAGTCAATTTTGAACATAATCTGTATTGCATTCTGTAGTTATCACATCATGACCCCTCTCCTTCTGAAAGTTAAAAAGAATGAAGTAAATGAGAAGACAACATCACCAACCACCTTTATATACTGAATTAAAAAAAAAAAAAAACACCTTTATATACATTAATACAAAAGGCATAGAAGCTAACAAGTAAACCGCCTTTATATATACCATAAGATATCAACATACAAAAAGCAATCAAGCTACGAAAATAATAAAAAGAGATCCCTTGGGTTAATAATTTCTTAGTCCAAAAGTAAAAGAGTGACTGTATCAGTGTATGGGATAAACCATGTATCCATTTATGAGCACATTAACAGGCATCGCTTGATTGAAATAATAAATATCTTTCGCTTCAAATTGCAATTCAGCATTCATTAAAAATCCCTAGTTGATTCAATATGAAAATCCCAAATGACAAACTTTATCCAACACGTCACAGTACAATTTCAACTTATTTTCCTTTAGACTCTAACATCCAGATGAATAACATGGCAGCCTTTTATGCATCTGAAATAGAAAGAACATAAGGTCAGGCGATCTAGGTTTTTAAAGTTCCTTTCAGCCTTTGGGACTCAATTTGTCCCTCCAATGGCTCAGTCAATACACTGTCTCACGAAGCAGATTTGTACATAAAAGATTGCTTCAATCTTCAGAACACTTATCACACATCATCATTATCTGATCAAACAAAAGAGAAGATTTCAACTATAAAGTATGATGCGAAACATAATTGCATCATGGTTTTATGGACAAAATTTCAGCATGATAGTCACACAAGAAATAAGTATAATATAGCTAACAAATAAATATAGAAGGTACAGAAATAAACTATATTCTAGAGAAATTCTAACAAGAATGTTGAAGAGCATTTATATTAAATAAGAGACATTATTTTCTAAAACACAAAGCAAACTAGGAAGAATCCAGCTTAATGACATTCATCATGCCAACTTAAAAGAATCCAAGAGCAACAAACTCTTTTTTCGGTGATAGATAACAAACAAATCTTCCTAATAAGAATGATTTTTTTTTTTTTGTTTAAAGCTCAACATCAAAAGAGGTCCAAGTCATCCCAACCTTGCTTCTCGATCTTCAAATAGTCTCCTCTTGGCCTACAAACAAAAGGAGTACGTAGGGCTTCACTAAATGATTTAGTTGCATGCATGGGGAAAGAAGAAGATTCAGGGAATAACTTAATCCATCAATCTTAGGTACATGATTAATATTTATATAAAGATATGATCAAACATGAGGTAAACGGACCACCTTTTTCATATCAATACGGAGAATTATTATATTTCATATCCATTCTGAAAGCGCTACACTTATACACCAGAACTGACAAGACTCTATTAAGTTTAACCCAAGAATTGAAAAGAAACACTAACTTACCCGAAAATTAAATTGAAGAATGAACACAAGGAATCCTACAGATGTTTAGCTACCTAATTCAAAAGTAAAATCCAACCGTCAGGCAATTAAAATGATCACAGACTAGGTGATCCGTAGAGTGGGACCACATAACATAATACTCTTTGTAGTCCTATTGTTTTTCTCTCAATATAAGCCGTAAAATATCTTCCAAGTTCCCTTCTCGTCCAACAACACTCACTAAACTCCCAAGTCAAAACCAGCAAACAGGAGAAATGCTAACCAAAACTGAATAAATGAGATCAAAAGCTAAAATGCTAAACTAAATCATATTAGTGACACAGACAAAAAACTTCAAAAACATTTCCACTATATATCAAACGAAAACCATTCAGAAAACAAATTAAAAGAAACTCAACCTTTCATTATAAAATGATACATACAATGCAGTTGTAGCAGAGACAATACCTTCAGGAAGCCAACCATAGCTGCGGCGAGAGACAGAGAGCATGGAAGTCATCAAAGCAGAAGCAGTTGCAGTATGGTACGGTAGCATGGATTCCACACAGAAGCTCAATTCAACAGGACACCTTCTCACACGAAATCATATCAATCCATTATTTCATTTCCAGCACCAATCCATGTAACACAAAATTCACCACTGATAAAAAGTAGTAAAATCGAGGTAACACTACGGTCCAGTTTGTTTAAACTTACACACAGCTTCCGAAAATAATCTAAAACGTTCGATTTTTCAAATTCCATTTCTTAACAATAACTTAATCTAACTCGTTAAACGTATTTCAAAAGTGATTTTCAATCAGAAAATGAAACTAAATGCACAACTAATGCAATTGAAGTAACACTAAATTCATCATTAATAAAAAAAAAGTTACCTGAGTGAGGATTGTGAGAGAGGTTTATTGGAAGCGACGCGGAACGGAGACCGAGCCGCTTTAGCTTCCGCGCCGAGACGGAACGCGGCGCGGCGAGAGGAACACGAACGGAATATCGATCTCGCGGCGGCGCCGGCGGTGGATGCCATTTCGTTATCGGAAAGTTTTAGGGTTAGAGTGGGTTTGCACTCGCAGTGGTGCAGGGTTCTACAACACTAAAACCCTGCATCAATTTTCGGTCATGGGCCCAAAAATGGGCTTTTAAAAACATTGGGCTTCGCTAAGTCCAGACTATAAAATGGCCCGTTATATAAACCCGTTATTTTACTATGGACTGAACCCAACAACACATCGACTCGAACCGATTCGCGCACGTGTTCGTCTTGTTGAATTTCTATGCCCTAACCCCTGTCTTAAAAAAATCCCCTTTCTTCTGAATTCACTTGTTGCAGAGTAACGTTATTGTTAACATGGCTTTGTTATTCAAGGTACACTAACGCTAAACCGAGGGTTACGTAATCCGATTCAGGAACTATGCATTTTGTTGAATTCGCTAATTTTGTTGTTTGGTGAGTGTTGCAGGATCCGGCGAAGCTTTCGGCGTATCGAGATAGAAGGTTCCCCGGAACGCAGGAGGATTTTGAGCACGCGCTTCTGACCTCAACTACCGTTTACGTTGGGAACATGTCATTTTACACGACGGAGGAGCAAGTTTACGAGCTCTTTTCGCGTGCTGGGGAGATTAAGAAGATCATCATGGGCTTGGACAAGAACACCAAAACGCCCTGCGGCTTCTGTTTCGTTTTGTGAGTATCGAAAATTGCAGTGAAAGCTTAAGTGTGCACTGTTAATCGCAGTTATTCAGTGTTAATCTGTTAATTGCAATTATTCAGTGTTAATCTGTTAATTGCTGTTATTCAGTGTTAGTCTGTTAATTGCAGTTATTCAGTGTTAATTGATGATTCTAGGGTAGGTATGCACAGATTCCTAGGTTGATTCCTGTTGGTGTCATTGTAATTCCTATAGATAAGAAGGAAAAAAATCGATGATTCTCTATGTACGAGTGTATGAATGTGTTATTTTTGGCAGGTATTATTCTCGTGAGGATACTGAGGATGCTTGCAAATACATAAGTGGGACGATACTGGATGATCGTCCAATTCGTGTTGATTTTGATTGGGGATTTCAGGATGGAAGACAGTGGGGGCGTGGTAGGAGTGGTGGCCAGGTGAGCACTATTTGTGCTTGATTGTAATTACTGTGGTTGTTTTTGTTCTTGGCTAATTGTGAACTGCTTATTTTGATTTGTGCAGGTGCGGGACGAGTATCGCACTGATTATGATCCAGATATCCTTCTAATTGTTTAATTTAGATTTGACTGCAATTTGCATTCTTGTTTGATTTGTTTGCTTATTTTTGCTCTACATTAAAGTGATAATTCTTGAAGTTAATTTGGTTCATCAAAGATCAATTGGTGCAATGAGTGTATTTAGGACCTTTAGTTTAAGTTTTTTTTTTCCCATAAAAAACACCTTTTAAAAGAAATAACCACTTTAAGAATTTTCATGCATGTGTGTCAGCTTTTCTAAATTTTCTGAATTATCTGTTCACTAGATTCACTAGATTATTGTACTTCAGAATAACTTTTTTTTTTAATATAACAACAGCCCCCTAGTCTGGTTTTGCCTTAGCTAGTTATTATGATGTTCTCTAGTTATGTGTAGTAAGAAAACATTAGTTCTGCAATGGTTTCAGTGGATTCTACTTGATATGGAATTATGAATACTCACACATGTTGGTCTTTGTTGAAATTTTACAGCAAAATTATTCCTCAAGATTGAGATATACTAGTTTTTATCAGTTTTCTTTTATCATTTGATTGATACGTTCAGTGATATTAAGTTATTATACTAGTCTCCTTAACTCTGCGTACGTAGAGGTGGTTATGGGAAGCTGGTTCAGAAAGAGTTAGAAGTACAAAGGCAGCTTGTAGATTATGGTGCTGGTTCTTTGGGTTCTTTTCCACCAGTTATTCCAACTTCCTGTAAGTGGCTCCAAGCAATATTTTCCACAGATCCTCATCTATTATGACAACTCTGCCTTATCATTTCACTTGTTTTGAAATCACTAAAAATTTAATTCAAATATATATTTTTCATATAGTTTGGTTTTTGGATTGCAAAATTATGTGGGACTTGACAATCTGCTTATTTTAGATATAACTACAAAGTTGCTAGGCAGTTTACTTGGGAAAAGAAGAAAATTGGTCGTTTCAAAATTGTCCCTCTTCTGCATAGTGATATCTAGAATACCATTGAGTAGGAGGGGAGAAACTTAATCAGAAGTTGACACTTGACACATGACAGAAGTATTGAATAGATTTTATATGCATATAAACATAGTTGTCAATAGTACCAAATAGTGTTGCTACTGTGGAATTGTGTCGCTGAGTGGCTGGAACATGCTAAAAAATCGAGGATAATCCTGGAAAACCACAGCTGGAGCGGTATTCAAGTGGGTCACAAAAACCTATTTTAACCATGAAATAACATTTCTGGCATCTCCCCCACATATTCTGGTCCATCCCCAACCACTGTAGCCTCTTCTCTTCTCTACATAGTTTCAGTTCATCCTTTTGACCCTGGGCCATTTTCTTGCAAACTTATCACTGTTTCCAGCCAACTGTAACCTTTACTGTCTTGCTTTGTTCTGCTCCTGAGTTGTGTTATTTTAATCTTTCTAAAATAGGTCTTTCTTCTCACTGTCTTGTGCTCTCTTGCAAGTTTCTCCCTTATAATTCTTTTATTCTAATCAGTTAGAATAGTGGTCATCCTGCAACTAGCCTATCTACCCATTATCCCTATTCCTGCTATAGCCTTGATAGGGTTGACCTACTGCTATTTGGATTAACAACTATGTAAATAGATAAGTAAGTCCAACTGGAAAGCGCTTCCTATTATGGACTAATGTTATTCACTCCTTAAGGCATTCCTTTGTTTACGTTTTTAATTGGGTCTAACATTGTGGTGATCTGTGTGTATATACAGCACATGAGGCAGCCTCCAACTATGTGCATTCTTTTGATTGGGCTGTCCTCTCCTGTATCCTCTTTATCGTGCAAGATGAGGAAATTGCAAATATTGATATCTCCAATAGCCAATGTCTTCTGCGTTGTAGTTCTCTTCTAATGATTAATGTTCACTGCTATTTTTTCACATTGACAACTATTTTAAGGAATTTCACAAATGTTTGAATTTCAAATTTTTTGTAAATTCTCCATCCAAACAAAGCATTTCATTCCAAAGCATGTGAAATTCTCCAAAAAAAAAAAATGAATTACTCTATTTAAGAGATAGGAGAGAGAGATAAAAGATATATTGGCTCTAGAGGCTTGAATTTCTTTGTTTACTTGACTTTTATTGCTATCTACTTGTATGTTTTGTTTAGGTACCATGATTTTTTATTTTTTAATTATGAATAGTTCATGAATTTTGAGTAACTTTTATATTTTTTTAGCATATATAATGATAATGGCAATAATAATAATTCTTGTCATCTTACTTTCCACCATCCTGCAATCTCATTTTTGGGCTTGGCTGCTGCATGCCACTATCTGAGATGAATAACTATCGAAGCTAGTGACTTACATTTTCGAATTATCTTACTGGCCATTGGCATTTTTTTGTTTATCATTCAATTAAATATTGTCTTTAATTTATTAGATACCATATATATTTCAAATCTAAAGAGTGCCCTTTAGGTGAGAGTACTGGCGTGTGTTAGTTTCATAGGGAACCGGCCTCCCCTTGTTTTGTTGATTTCTTTTTTTCTTCTATCTAATTTCCTTATACATTCTAAGATTTGTGGTAATTATCATTTTCTATGAGTTTGTACTGTGAATTAAACCGTTCAGAAATTTTACTCTTGCAGATGGTAGACACGGTGGAAGTCATGGTCATGGTGGTTCCCATCGGCATGGTAGAGGTAATCTCATACTTTCATCTAGACAATCTCTTATGTCCATTTTAGAAGAACTTAGATTGTTGCTCTCACAGTTTTACCTATAAATTTACTGTTAATATAAATTTCATTTGTCTCTTTGAAATGATAGATTACTATAGGAAGAGACACCGAGACGATGACCGCGACCGCCACACGCACGAGTCCTCAAAAAGAACTTCAGATCATGAATCTCGGAGGAACACTGACCATGAATCTAGACCGGTATTTCTACAAATCTTAATGACACTTAAGATTGATTTTAATCAATTATTTTGTAACAATTCCTATTGCCATGCTTTTATTGTGTCACATTGGCTTATTAGGCTGTAGAACTTTCTTCAGTAGTAGGCACGATGATTGTATTATCGCATGATGCTTCTTTTATTGCATTTCCTCATAGTTTTTGCCGTCTAATTTGTCTCGATCAATTACTTGATTTAATGTGGCAGGAAAAAAATCCACGGTTTCGTGAGAGTGGTGATTCTGATGAAGACGAGGACGATGATAGAAAAAGACGGGCTTAACCAGAATTTCATACTTGATCAAGTTATTTTAAATTGAAACCTTTCTACTGACATGAATGATTAAAGGTGGATGATTGTTTGTATAATGTATATTATTCCAAATTACAAAGATCTTACTTAGTTTAACCTCGTTTGAAATTCTAGGTTGGATCTGCTGCATATATATGGCAGTGCCATTTTTTATTGCGTGTTTGTATCAATTTTTATTGTCTTATGCTTCTGACTACCAACATATTAATCAGATTTTGTTAACTTTTTCTGATCTTATGCTCTATGGATAGGATGTGACCTTGAACAAGTTTATTTTAATTTGTTTTTACATTAGTATACCATATTAATTAGTAATATGGTATACATTTTTTGCCTGTGAAATCCGCTGAGGACTAAGCCACATCTAGAAGTAAAATGTCACACGAGTGTACGTCAGTGAAACAATTTACCCAGCCCATGAATATACAAATAGTTAACATATTTTTTCTAACGTATTTTTGTTATTAATTTATTTATTAAAAAATTATAAAATTATAAGTGATGTTAATTAGATAAAAACGATACTTGTAATATTTTGTGATTTCTAATAATAATAAAGTTATAAGACAATTGAGATACAATAACTATTTTTAACTTGTATGGAAAGTTATATGAATTAACTTATTAAAAGTTAAGGTAAATATGATTTATTTTGTTAATTTTAATTATTTATATTTTTTTAATCTAGTTTTTTTAGTCATGTTATTAATATGAAACATTATTTTGTTGATGATTAATCTTTTTCAGAAAAGTTGATTGGCCTTTTTTAGTAAGATGTCTTGTCTTAATTTTTTATATATACAAGACTCAAATTTAAAATTGTACTTACGGAGATCAAATCTAGTATTATTTTGACCAACAATTTTTTTTTTTTGTGCCCAAAATAGTTACACTGTGATATAAGAAAAATGTTATTTTTACAAAAAAAAAAGTTATTAATTAACCTTTATCATTTTTGTTTTTTTAAATATTCTTTATCTCTCATGTCAAGAATTAACATCACAAGTGTGTTTACAGACTTGAGGAAAAATGATTTGCGGAATTTCTTATGTCCTTTCTTCCACTGTGTTTGGTAGTGAAGATGAAAGGAGAAAAAAATAGAGGGAATATGTGAGGAAAAAAAAGTGAGAAAAAAAAGTGGAAGTTAAAATTGTTTAGTGGAAGAAAAATATAAGAAATTTGTGGGAAAGATTAATTTTGATTGATTTATGTTAGATTAAATAAAAAAGTAAAAATAATGTCATACAATAATTTACAAATATTCCTTTTTACAATTTATGTGTGTTTAAAAAAGTTGTGAAATCGATATAATCACGATGAATTCTTGTTTTGGCAAATTTGATGAAAAATAATTTTGAAATATTTAGTTTTGTTTGAAAACAACAAATAATCAATTTTTTTTTATGTTATAAATCAACTTAAAAGAAGAAAAATTGTTGAGAAACAATCATACACTTGAAAATTTCAATTTCATAAAAGAACTTATTTTTCCCAAACATGCTCTAAATAAGGCCATATAATTAATTATATAATGATCATGATTGATTATATGAAATTCCATAAAATGCTAAAATGTATTGATATTTGATAGTTGACAATCCACATAATTGGTTATTTCACAAGTGAAAATTCTCTAAAACTCGAAATTTGATTTCTATAATCAAGTATAGTTGCTTATTCAACACCAAAAAAAAAGTATAGTTGCTTATTATTACATCACATAGTCACTAAAAGTCAAAATTTATCTTCCATAACGAATCTATGTCCCATAATTGAGTATGGTTGCTTGTAATCACATCATAAAACCATGGGAGGTCAACATTTGGGTTTCATGGTCGATATATTTTTTATTTTTTAAAATTAATAAAATAAATTTGTTTAATTAATATTTATATATTATGCTTAATTAATTTATTAATTGGATTATGAAGTCGCTCTATCTTATTTTTGTCCTTACAGTTTTTTTATTATATATTTTTAGATCTTTGACATTTTTTAAAAATGTTTTTTTAGTTGTTATTATTAACTCTATTTAGTTTAGTGCTAAAATGATTAACAAAATAAATAATTTTAATTAAGATAATTAATATAATAAATAATATTTTAAAAGTTTAAATATGTTTTAAGTCCTTGAAAATATTATTTCATTTTATTTTAGTCCATGCAAAATATTTTTTTTTTCATTTTTAGATCTTGACATTTTCTTAGTGTTTTATTTTAATCTTTATCAATAACTTTAGTAATTTAGTACTAAAATAGTTATAAATAAAAATACTAAGTAAGATAATTAACGTGACAAAAAATATCTTAATCTATGTTTATAAGCATAATTTAATTAAATGATATATTTATTATTTTATATAAATAAATAAATTATATATAATTTTCTTATACAAATTATTTTTCATATATAAAGAATAGTGATTTTTATCGTATTTAATATTGTTTTTTCATTTTAAGTCTTTTCACTAATTTATTATGGAAAATTACATTGATCTTTCTTAAAGTTTTTTTTAAATGACATAAATTTCCTTTCTAAGTTTTAGGTGAACATTAACCTTTCTTATTTATTTATTTAAGTGACACATACAATCGTTTATATAAGATAACAATATTTGTACATTAAGAAAGAACAAATTGTTAATGCAATGTCAATAATTAAATGAGACCTATCTTTTATTCAATTTTAACTCCTAAGTTATATCATAAATATTATGCATATTGTGATTTAAAAAATATACTAGCTTTAAGGAACAATTTTAAAGAATGGACTGAAAAATTATTATTTTTAAAATTAAAAAATAATGAAAATTTTCATAAAAAAGAAAAAAATGTAGTTAATTTATAAACAATGATAAACATGTCTATGATTCACAAAATATAAATTAACTTTTTTTTTTGTTTTTTTTTTCTCATTCTCTCACTTGATTTAACTTTTATTTATCTCATTTAAACAAATTTCATGGCAAGTGAGTACAGTTTTTTCATTTATTATAATTGAAGACTAATGGCATTGTATGAAATTTAATTTAATAAAACCTAATATTATATTCCACTTCGTTCCACGTCTTTTTGTCTATTTTTGTTGATACAAACACAGTTTTTTTTAGCTTACACTAATTTATATTTGAAGACTATTTTTTGCAAGACGTAAAAATCGTTGAAATAATATATTATTATTTCTTCCAACAAAATATTTTATTAGAAATACAAACATAATCTAAAGCAGGCACCACTTCGATAATGCAGGTTCACTAGATCCTTACAGAGAACCATATCTTTTCCATTGGAGTTTCCCTTTTTCTTTTTCTTTTTTTGTTGAGCCCATTGGTATTTTCTTTGGATACCCACCTACATAGTAATTGTAAAAGTAAAAGAAAAAAGGGAAAATGAGATGTAAAATAAAAGCGAAAAAGGTGAATATGTTCTGTATTAAACTATCGTCGTCCATGGATCAACTAAGAAAAGAGAATGTAAATAAAGGGTTTTAATCTTCACAGCAATGTGATTGCATATTTGCATTGTTAATTTGGTAAATATTCATTGTCCATAAAGTTATGTTCTGTTAAACTCTTAGACCACTTTATATGTATCAATATTTGAACTTTGAATAATGAGCGTGCCGGTTCTATAGTTTTAGAGTAAATCTAACTTCCAGGCATCGATGATTATCACTAATAATTTCACTGAGCATGCATAAATCATGTTTTTCCACGATCCTTTTCGGGGCATTTAAAATTTTTGGCTTTATTTTTAGTAATTTTCTCAGTTTCCCAAATTAATGTACAGTATCCTACTCCTTTTCTTAAGTTATTTATGTTGGAAAGAAAATAGTCACGTTTTCACAGAGAAATTAAAGGCAGAAAAATTGTCATAATATAACAAAGGCATTAAGTCTTGTGCCTCCTAATTGTTACATGAACACAAACGCTATATAGTTTCCAATGAAAAACACCAAAGATATAACCACACACTGCACAAATGATAAAACTGCATACTTTCCATCGCTTTGATCAGCAAAACATGAAATGTGCGAGATCAAGGATGAAACTACAGAAAGTAAAGCATCACAATTACCTCATAACTTAGTATTCTCTTTTCAATGTCCAAGCATTCTGTGTATCCCTCACTCTCACTTCATAAAATAAAAAATAAAAAAAAATCAAGGAGTGTACCCTTGTTGTTCCTGCTGCCTCTCATACTCTTCCATTGTGTCAAACTCATTTGGATACTGATTTTTCTCATAGTAACCTTCATTTTCGGTGCCCCCTCTACCTGATTCGAACTCATTAAGGTTATAATTCTCATTATGAGAATTTATATCATAAAAATACTTGCCATTCTTCATGAACCTTGTGTCACTCATTCCTTCTCTCTGCCCCTGATAGCCATTGCTGCTATAGTAGTTGTTGTTGTTGTTGTAGTAGTAATTTTCCTTGTCATTGTTGTTGTTGGAATAGTTATCTACATAATTCTTGCTGTAACTTTTCCTGTACTCTTCGTTAGTGTTGTCATTGTTTCTGTACTCTTCATTGTTGTTGTAGAAGTTGGTCTTGGGGTAGCCAGTTTTGTGGCTCTCATCACTGAAGTCTTCATTGAGAAGCTCATTTCCAAAGGTTGTGGTGGTGGTGGTGGTAGGAGTCTCCTTGGTGGGAGAGTATTGGCTATAAGAGCCCCTACCATAGAGGCCATAACCATCTCCACTTTCAAAAAATTCAGGCTCTGGTGCTGGCCCTGATGGTATTGTTGATCCAATTGCTTGTGAATTTGAAGGTCCTGGTGCTGATGCTGGTGTTGGTGTTTGTGTTGGTTCTGTTACTAATTCTGGTGCTGGTCCTGGTGCTGTCGTTGGTTCTGGTGCTGGTTCTGGTGCTAGTGTTGGAGATTTAGCTAGAGGGTCTTTGACATTATAGATGGTTCTGAAATGGGTGAACAAGCTGAAAAACTTGCCTTCTCTGGCATGGATTTGGGGGGAGATAACAAGAACCAACAGAAAAACGAAAGAGAGTTGGTTCCCAAAAGAAGCCATAGTGTGGAGTGATAGTGAGAGGTGAGTGTTATGAGAGTGATTTTGTGAGGGTCATTTTATAGAGAGGACCAAGTGCTATAAATGAAAGGCCGGTTAATTATGCGGGGATTGTGGAAGGGAAAAGGGGTGTGGGGTATGGTAATGACCTGCAAGCCATGCTGCATGTGCAAGCTTTGGGGATTCCAGCATGGGAAACACAGATGTATAGTGCTGAGACATCACTATGGTCTTAAGTCAAAAAGTACCATTTCATTTTGTTCCTTTTTCATTGCTTAGATGAGTCCCTCTTTTTGCTATATGAATTCCAAAATTAATTGGCGGACCGGCTTTCTAAGCCACTCATCATCAGAATAGTACTAGGTAGAATAGAAATCTCATATTCACTAATAATATAATAAAAATAAAATATATAAATAAAGATAATTTTTATCTTATAAATTAATTTCGCAAGATTAAAATAAAATTTAAATTCACATTCTAAAATAATATCAAAATTTTTCTTAAAGTTTATTGTATCTATCGTATCACTTGTTATAAGGTCATTATGAAATCATCCACATATATTTAATTATGTAAATTTTATGTTTAAAATTTTTAATTTTTAATTTGAGAAGTGTGTATAAAAGATCTCATATTGATTAATTTAATGATATGACCGATATAAAGTATATAAATAAAGATAATTCTTATATTGAAAAAAGAATGAAAGAGAAAATAAAGACAAATATAAATGAGTCTACATCATTTTTGGTATTTATTTTTAAAATGTGTTTTTTTTTTTCCTTCTTTTAATAGGTTCGGTCGTACATGTAATTTTTATAGGATGCAATACTATTCATTTTAAATAAGGTTATTACAAACAGTAAAATTCTCTCTCCATAATTTATGTACTTAACAAGTGTGTATCCAAAACTTAAACATATAGTTAGGAATTGATTATGGTGGGTAGCACACATGTCTAGATTTGAAGATGGTCTAAGTTCATACAAAGCACTATAGTTGAAAAAAAAAAATACAGAAACCAAAAGAAAAGTTGCTACCTTTTCTGGTGTGGTTATTTATTAATTCAAATGGGAAATATACGTGCCATGCAGGTTCTAACCAAGCAGATTTAGTTACACCCACCAAGTGGACTTGTAATTAACAAATTCTGAAAGGCATTAAATAAATGCATGCAAGAGAGGGTTGAGGGTTGGACATTTTGCTTAAAGAATAATCAATTTGATGATGTTTCTAGGCTTGTAGCTCATCAATTAAAGTAATGATACAGAAAGCGTTGTCTATGAATATTGGAAGCAAAAATGTTAAAGTTAGCTCAATGACTGGCATGATTAGTTGAAAGCATGTTTGCACTTTTGATATTCCATTTTGTTTTGGAGTGATGTTGAAGGAACGGTTCTTTAACTTTGGCGTGATCAGCGGGGGAGCAATTGAAAAACGAATGTAGAATGTGGACATTTAGAACCGCAAGTACCCAACATAAACATGCCTTTTGGGACATGTAGCAGAACACTTTGACTTTGGATTTGATGTCTGATCCCAAAGATTAGGAGAATTTATGGAAACATATGACAATTTTTATGTCTCAACAGACATAATATGGGTCCTATGTAATTCTGGCTTTGAAAGCCCAAGTTCCCATTTATTGGGCCAATGGTTAATTATTCATCAACATAGGCTTTTTCCCTTCCTCAAATGTATGAAAGGGGGTTCTAATTGTCATTAATTTAAAAAGTTTTCGTAAACAATGAGGTTGAACATGAATTTCTTGTTAAGTATCACATAATCTGTATGAGTGTAAAATACTTCATCACTATGTCAATTAATCACATTACAAATTATGATTAGTTTAATGGCTATACACATATAATCTAAAACAAATTTAAATTGCATGTGGATAACTATTAAACTTATTTTATTTACACTTTATCTTTTATTGATTTGTATCTTTCTTTGCGTTTTTATGATTAGTTTAATGGCTTTGTGGATGTTTTGGATTTAGATTTTAGAGTATATTTAATACATTTAAGAACTTAAATTCGGAAAGTGTTAGAAATTTTAGCAATTCTATGATTTAGCTTTTGAAAGAAAAAGTGAGCTTCTCCTTCCTAGTGAGCTTCGCCGTGCCACTGCCTTTGTCAAATATGAAAGATCTAAACAAAATTATTAAAAAAAAAAGTTAAAATATTAACATTTTAGAATGCATTAAACTAAGGGGGGTGTATTGGTTTAGGATTTCGTAGGATGCATGTTTAAGACCTATTAGCTTGTGCTTGTTTTTGATTTTTTTTGAGTCTCTCCATTCCTTGTATGTGTCCGTGATTGGACCTCATGCATATGCATTAGATTTTTGGTTTTTAATCTTGTTTTGTCTTAGAGTTTGTGGGTAATCCTTATATGTCACAAAATTCCTTGAATAGCATGTTGATCTAATTTTTTGTTTTGAGTTCATTGTTCATTAATTTTTGCTCTCGGTCTTTGTTCATTTATGCTTACCTATATGTGCTTTTTCTTTTACCTTATTGTGTTCATAATTTTCTATTAGACCTAGCAAGTTTCTTTAGAGTTAGGTTTTCATTGTGTTCTTAAGTTTTCAAATCACTTTCCATTGAAAATCTTATAAAAAACTTTTTGACTCAAAATTTCAAGTGTACTCCTACTTCTAGTGCACTAATTTTGTGGATTCAAATTTAAAATGGTGGTGATCTTGATAGAAGAAGATCTCTTTCTGGCTACATTTTTACTCTCTGTAATTCTGCTATCAGTTGGAGGTAAATGATGATGTTGAACCTGCCAGCTATAGTGAAGCTGTTTCTTGTGTTGATTCTGCTAAGTGGCTAGTGGCTATGAATGAAGAAATTGAAAGTCTTCACAAGAACAACACTTGGAATTTGACAAAGCTCCCCAAAGGCAAACGACCTCTAAGGTGTAAATGGATCTATAAGAAGAAAGATGGCATTCCAGGGGTTGAAGATCCTAGATGCAAGGCGCGATTAGTCGTTAAAGGCTTTTATCAAAAGGAAGGTATTGACTTTAATGAGATTTTCTCACCTGTTGTTCGTCATACTTCCATTCGTATTTTGCTTGCTTTTGTTGCTCTGTTTGATTTAGAATTAGAGCAACTTGATGTAAAGACAGCTTTTCTACATGGAGAGCTGGAAGAAGAAATTTATATGGATCAGCCTGAGGGATTTGTTGTTCCTAGTAAGGAGCATCTTGTTTGTCAATTAAAGAAATCTTTATATGGCCTCAAGCAAGCACCCAGACAATGGTATAAAAAATTTGATTCCTTTATGATTGGGCAAGGTTATTCCAGGAGTAAATATGATGATTGTATTTATTTTCAACAATTTCCTGATGGAACTTTCATATACTTGTTACTTTATGTTGATGATATGTTGATTGCATCACGTGACAAGTCTTTGATCAGCAAATTGAAAGCTCAACTCAATAATGAGTTTGAGATGAAGGAATTAGGTGCAGCTAAGAAAATTCTTGGCATGGAGATTCATAGAGATCGACAAGTTGGTAAATTATTCTTATCTCAACAAAAATATATTGAGAGATTACTTGACAGATTTAATATGAATAATTGTAAACCTGTTTCTACTCCACTTGCTGCACATTTCAAGTTATCTTCAGACCTTTGCCCACAAACAAAAGAAGAGATGGAGCGTATGTCACACGTTCCATATGCTAGTGCAGTTGGCAGTTTAATGTATGCTATGGTGTGCACTAGACCTGATTTAGCATATGCTGTTAGCATGGTGAGCCGATACATGCATAATCCTGGAAAGGATCACTGGAGTGCTGTAAAATGGATTTTTCGGTATCTTAAAGGTACTAGTAATATTGGCTTGGTGTTTGACAGAAACAAAGCTACAACTAATAATGTTGCAGGTTTTGTTGATTCGGATTATGGTGGTGATCTTGATAGAAGAAGATCTCTTTCTGGCTACATTTTTACTCTCTGTAATTCTGCTATCAGTTGGAAAGCTTCACTTCAATCTATTGCAGCATTATCTACAACAGAAGCAGAATATGTTTCAGCAACAGAGGGTGTGAAAGAGGCTCTCTGGATCCGAGGTTTGGTCAAAGAACTTGGTCTCACACAAGATGTTCTTACTGTATTTTGTGATAGTCAGAGTGCCATTCATTTGACTAAGAATAGTCGTTACCACGACAAGACCAAACACATAGATGTTAAACATCACTTTATCCGAGATATTGTTACTATTGGTGAAGTTCTACTACAAAAGGTACATACATCTGAGAATCCAGCAGATATGCTTACTAAGCCACTTCCGAATGCCAAGTTTCAGCATTGTTTGGGCTTGGTTGGTCTCTACAACAAATGATTGCCCCTCTGGGGCTTTATCTGGCGATGAGCAACTTATTAAATTTGAGCCAAGGTGGAGATTGTAAAGTTATGGCACAAATTTCTTCCATATTTCCTGTTTTAAGGAAAACACGTTTCCTTGATTTTAGGCCATGATTC